ATTTTGAAGCAGGCTTTGCAAGATCCTGGCTATGGCTTTCCTCTCTGGAGGGTGAAACTCATTTGGGCTCAGAGTCAAGCTTTCTCATTTATTTGCACTTGATGCTGTGGTCTTTGTGTTGATGCTGCTGCACACTGATCCTTCAGTTAGCTGTATTGCCATGTCTGTAACACAGCCTAAATCTTGAAATGGCGAATCTTTCCAGGGCATGGAGGAGGAGGAGGAGGAGGCAAAAAGCCAACTGGGCGAGGTACTTTGTCATGCTGAGCAACCTCTGCAACTGCTCTCTTTGCTACAGATTTTGCTGAAAGCATGGCAGTAGGAAATTCTGAAGAGCTGGATTCAGATGCAAAAGGGTTATTGTGGGAAAGCCTGAGATTATGGTTTGTGAAGCCTTGTACCACACTGGGAACCAGTCCTGCTGTTGTATCTTGGTTTGGTTGAGAGTAGGTAACTCCAGGCTGGAAGAGAAAAACAGTTTGTGTTTGTGGTTCAGTGACTTGGGGCTTATAATATAAAGGACATTGATATCTTACTAGGTACCCTGCTCCTAGATAGATATAGGCCTCCAACCCAGCTACAAAATATTCCTGACCATCACAGAAGTTTGATTTGCATTTGAACACGTACACAGGAGCCCAGGAATACATTTTAAATAGCCAGTAGGTCATTAGCACCAAATTCTATGCTGTGGGAACTTTCAGGGCCACCTGTGCAGCTGGTGAAACGTCCCTGACCAGCTGTCTTCTTCTGTCTTTCATATACCTCCTGGGCAGCTACTTGCTATTGTGTTACCATGAGCTTTGGTCCATAGAAGTATTCAACCACCACCTAGCCCTTCTCAGACCAAATGGAGACTAAAATACCCAGAGAGCACTCAGGTCCAGTGCATATATATTTTCTTCCTCTTGCTATAGCAGCATAGGTCAGGCTCCCTGAATTCAGTCTTGTCTAAGGACTACTAGCAAAAAACCCCAGCTGATTTCATCTGCTACCGTGGCTTCTTTATGTTTTGCATCAATGTGCCCCATCCCTCTAGCTGAGCAGAGTTTGGTTCCCTTTGCCCTACCAGACATGGGAAACTCTCAGATGGTTAGGGGGACAAACTGTGTCAAGTATGGATGGCAGAGATGACATTATTCCTGGCACAGAAATCCATAGGGTAATTAGGAGCTACCTTACCTTGTTTTTTAGGATACAAAATAAAACTCAAGTTATCACAGATAGCCAATGCAGTCTACAGCAAGAGAAGTAAACTCAGGGTGGTTGCTTCTAACAGTACTATTAGGCTACAATACTCTGGAAAGGAAGGGACTGTCTGGAGTTGGTACCTGGTGTCCATAGAGCTGGCAGTCCACTCTGAGGTCCTGTGACTTATCCTGTGTTGTTACCACTGTTGCTGTGCAGAAACCATAATTCTGGCAAAGCAGGACATAGTCAAAAAGAAAATAGTTATAAAACAGAGGAGACCTGCATTACAATTTTTAATATCAGTACTTCTAGAAATAGCTACATCTTCCCATGTTTCATCTGAGCAGTAAAGTCCTTGCTTTTTAGTCTGTTGAACTCAAAAGCCAAGCTGTTTCAATGCATAACCAGGAAATAAGTGAAACTTCTGTATTCTTCTAGGGTAAGATCCTTTATGTGTCTGGATATGAGGGAGGGAAAGAATAGATAGGAATCTAGGCAAAAGGTTTCCACCCACTAAAACTGCCTAGGACTCCATTTCATCAGAAACAAAATAAGAATTTTAGCATTATAAAGTATACAGTATAATTCTCAAGAGCCTATATATCAGTACAAAGCACACTGACAGCACTTAAATTGTAGGAAGGTGAAACAATCTGCCCTTTTGTTATATGTTTTTGTACTGTCCAGTACAAAGAGCCTGATTTTCTCAGGTGCTCATGTTAAGAAGAATAAACAATAATACATATTCTGTTGACCAAAAATATTTTGTGTTAAGGATACTTTGGTCTTCAAGCCTTTTTGAAATATTTTCAAATACATTAGGATTCAGTCCAGATAACCTCAGAGAGAAGAGAAGGGTGTCCTATAGCTTTAGGAATGATATATTGAAAAGCATATCATGGTGGTATACACCTCTTGCACTTTCATCTTCACAAAGGTCTATTCTTGCACAGGTGCGAGCGCATCACAGCATGCAGCCTTTCTACCTCTGAGCTGACAAGATCAGGACTCATGTGCTGGCATACTTACAGACTGATCGTCAGGCAGCAGTTGACAAGCCTCCACATTATCTTTAGCTGCTTCTGCTGAGCAGTTCGTGGCAGCCACAGCAAACTCAACGTAGACAATGTGCACTGGGTGATACTGATAAAACAGGAAAATTGTTTAACTGACTTTGCACTATGAAACTGCAGAGCTGCTGAGAAAAGATAAAAGGCAAATGCTGTGGCATCTAGCTCTTCATCTCCCACTGAAGTGAAAGGGAATCCTGTGGCTAAAATGACACAAAGTGCTTGGGAAATCAAGAGCAATTCACTCGGGCAAATTAGAACAAACTAAATCTGTTTGCAAACATAACTAGTTAGCACTGCACAATTACCATAGAAGAAATATTCTGTTTACATGGAAGGCTAGACACGGTTCCAGCAATTAC